CATACTTGAGGTGCGTACGCACTAATCACATTGATAAGTTCTTGTCCTATTACAATCTTGATTGCCATGATTCTATCTCCTACCCTCTTGACATCTACAACATCTTGTGTCAAGGTCTTGTCCACGATGATGTCAACACCGTTTCTCGTTCTATTTGTGCCCGAATACCATAGTTTAAACTCATCCTCAGTTAAATAGTAATCCACGAATACCATTACTAAATTACTTGCAGTGAGTCTGATTTCCTGTTGGTTGTTGTCGGTCGCCAAGGTTGGCCTACTAAAGTTGACGCTCAGTCGAATGTTGACCAAAGGATAAACCACAATAAATAATCGTGCAAATACAAGTGCAATATCGTGCAGTCCGCGCCCGTGTATATTAGTTTCTAGTTCGGAAGTTTGCATTATCGGAATTTATCTGAAATTTCGAATCGGTTTTGTATCATAAATTTCATAACATAACTTGGATCTCATATATTTTGAAGACGTTAAAATTGCCAAAAATTTTATGTGTCCACAGGTCAATATTTTTTTTTTTGATTTTTTTGTGATTATTGTAGGCGTATATGTGTTCAACATAAAATCATATTAAACAAGATAAAATAGTTACATTCTTTATTTTTAACATATAATAGTATAATTAAATTAAAAAATAAAAATAAAGCATATCTAAATACATGATAAAATAAGAATATGCGTGGTTTTTTTGTTTATAGTGTTAAGTTTGAAAATTTTCAAAATTTCGGATTGTATAAGTAAATATCAAATGCCATCCAAAATTCTCGCAATTGGAAATGTTAGGACTCAAAACAAAATTTTATTATTTGGATTAAAATTTCCAATTCAACTTGCACTCCTGCTGTACGTCACCGGGAAGATGAATAAGAAGAAATAGATGAGGAGATGCATGTACCGGAAAGTCCCTAATGTGAAGGGAAGACCTTTATAAAGCCAATTATGGAAGCCGGCGAGCCATCATGGGAAGCCTCTAGGCTGAATTAATTGACCACCGCTTGAGGTGCCCATGACGTGTGCGGGTGTTATTGTAAGTACCTTGGTGCTTAACATCTCTTGTATTATGTATCTCTCGCCATTTAATTTGCTATTTTGTATCCTTGATTTAAAGCTTTTGAATCACCTACCACGGTTCTAGATTTGTATTTCACACAATATGTTTTACATTCGATTCCTGGTGTTTGTGAAGCACATGATGGTAGCTAGGGAGAGATGTTTGTATGAGTCTTCCTAGCCCTCGAAAGAATTGATTTCATGACGAAGCCACCGTCTAGTCTTTTATTTTTTATTTTTTAAATTAAAACTTTTGAATCTACAACAATCGATGCCAAGTTTAGAAATAATCATCCAACAAAACTTGAAGAAGCACTTCGATAATTATTTTGTTTTTAGTTTTTGTATTTTTTTATTTTTTTTTTGAAAAATGAAAACTGGAAGCTCAAAACCCAAATCTGAAATGAGAACTAAAAACTTAAAATGGAGATGGTTAGCAAACGTTGAACAAAATGCATAGAAATCACTTTGGCATGGTGCCCTTTCCAATTTAATCAGAGGGAAAATGAAGAAGAAAAACATGCTTTTATAGTATTCAGTCCAATAAACTTCTAACCATCTAATCTTGCTACAAATTACACAAGTTAAATAAGTAAAAGGGTGCCTCCAAGCCAATAAGACTCTCCGTTTTGTGAGGATCGGAGGAGGAACATCTATCTTATGCAGTCATACATTTGTTTTGCAAAAAGATTATTTTCACGACTCGAACCAGTAACCTTTTTGGTCACAAATGAGCAACCTTTCCGATGCATCAAGACTCACCCTCACACAAGTTAAACAAGTAAATAGCAATTTTGGTACCGAAGCTTTAGTAATGCACTAGTTAAGTAGAGAATTCCAGCAAACAGGTTTCTCTTGTCCTTTCATGAAAACATAAATGCTAACATCTGCAAATTGAAGGACCACCTAGCAATAAACTTAGTGGAGCAAGCAACCATGTGTTTTATGAATATATGATTAATGTTATTGCAAGTTGAAGTTCGAATATTTTATATCAAACCAAGTCCTTCTGAAGAATATTCAAAGTTTGTCACTTTTGGTGTGCTACTGCTAACTCAAAGTTGTTGACACAGTGAATCTTTCCCTATAAAACCCCAACTTTCCAAGCTTCCTACACACCACTCCTCTTGCTAACTTCAATCAGTCTCAGCTAAGTATTTGAGACTTGATCAGCTCCAAATTCCAACCATGGAGACTTTGTACCTTATATTCTCTTTAGGTGCTGCTTTCTTAGCCTTTACAATCTTTGCATTCAAAGGAAAATCAGATGATGGCAAAAACCTCCCACCAGGAAGCATGGGGTGGCCTATTGTGGGTGAATCGATCGAGTTCCTGTTCGGGAAGCCGGAAAATTTTGTGTTCAAGAGGATGAGGAGGTACTCTCCTGACATCTTCAAGACCTATATTCTGGGGGAGAAAACTGCAGTGATTTGTGGTCCTAGTGGACACAAATTTCTGTTCTCCAATGAACAAAAGTACTTCACAGCTTTTCGACCACATTCAATGCAAAAGATGTTTCGATCATACAAGGCTGCCGCCCCCACCGCTGCTGCTGGTCCTGCTGTGGCACAACCTTCTCGTGATGAAGAAGCGAAAGTTATAAGATCGCCAGGGTTTTTGAAGCCGGAAGCACTGGTTAGGTACTTGGGGAAAATGGACTCTATCACTCAGGAACAGATGAAGGCTTATTGGGAAGGCAAAGATGTGGTCGAGGTCTACCCTTTGGCCAAGACCCTCACTCTAAGTCTTGCCTGCAGATTCTTCTTGGGGATCGATGATTCCGAGCGAATTGCAAGGCTGGTGAGCAACTTTGATGATGTTACTGTTGGTATGCATTCACTTATTATCAACTTCCCAGGAACAACATTCTACAAGGCAACCAAAGCGGCCGATGCGCTGCGAAAGGAGTTGAGGATTGTGATTCAGGAGAAGAAGGCTGCAATGGCCGCAGGAGGTCCCATGCATGATATATTGTCACACATGATCGTGGCTAGTGATCCATCTGGCAAACACATGCCCGAGGCTGAGGTCGCGGACAAGATCATGGGCTTATTGACTGCAGGATACAGCACTGTGGCCACCGCCATGACATTCTTCATGAAATATGTTGGAGAGAGGCCAGACATTTATGCCAAGGTCCTAGCTGGTAAATACTAATCACTTCAACTTAACATTTCTACTTAATGCATATTGCTTACATTTTTTTGGTGCTAAAGTATGATTTGTCTTGTTAAATTCAGAGCACAAGCAGATTGCAGACTCAAAGAAGCCAGGAGACTTTTTGGAATGGGAAGACATCAACAAAATGAAGTACTCATGGAATGTGTTGTATGAAGTGATGAGATTCACGCCGCCACTTCAAGGAACATTCAGAGAGGCCTTGACTGATTTCACCTACGCCGGTTACACCATTCCGAAGGGCTGGAAAGTATATTGGACTGTGAGTACAGTGAACATGAACTCAGAGTACTTCCCCAACCCAGAAATGTTTGACCCATCAAGATATGATGACCTAAGTGTATTCCCAGCTTTCACATTTGTTCCATTTGGAGGGGGGCCAAGAATGTGCCCCGGGAAAGAGTACGCTCGCCTAGCGATACTCACTTTCGTTCACAATGTGGTCAAGAGGTTCGAATGGGAAGTTCTATTTCCTAAGGAGAAGATCACCGGCGACATGATGCCAACACCCGAGAAAGGGCTTCCAGTTCGCCTTCGATGTCACTAGACAAACAATCAAACTATGAATTTTTTTCTCTGTCTTCAAATATCATTCCTTTTTCCCTTTAAATGTAATGAGGATATGCTATATCATGTGATCATCAATAACCCCCTTTCAAATTTGTAAATTTCATATTGAAGTAGGAGAGGTAATCTAAAACTTAGCACTCCTTCCAAGCAAAACATCTAGTTGCCAAGGTTGGCCACCTAAATTTTCTTTAATAATTTGATGAACGATGAGTAGCGGATATATTGGGTGATGTGGAGAGCGGGTGATCAAATATATTGAGTAACGTAGAGTACATGTAGTCAAAATTTGTCTTTGAACTGGATGAATTACCTGCTGCAATATCTAAGATGTGCCAACCTCAAATGAGATCAGTGGTTTTATAACATTTCACTACAAGGTACACGATCCATGTGTCACAGCTGTACACAGAAGACTAAGTCAAAACGAACACACAATACAATCCTGACATATGCCTAAAGGTTAGGAAAGATTAGTGAGCAAAATCTGAAAACATTGTAGGAGTGATCTGGTCTAATATTATAGCAAACAAGTTACAGAATTTAAACGAGAAAATACAAACCACTTCGTCTATGACGCTTTTCGGTTAGGGAACAGCTTACATGAAGAGGAAAATATGATGATCATGGCATGAATTATCGAAGTTAATCGAGGAATAACAATTTAGTATTGTTTCCTTGGTACCGCATTTTTGGCATTCTTGACTCGGTTCTGCCGTTTGGGGTTGAATATAATCTGTTAGGAACAGAAACAGATCAGTTGTTCAATTGTTTGAGCAAGTCATATGTCTATAAAATGTCAAACTCTTTCAATGATTAAAAAAAAAAAAACTTAAAAGCTAAGTAGTAAAACAACTTAACAGATTGTTTCCCGGTGATTAGCAGCATTTGTACTGGAAATAGGATTAAAATTCGGAGCAATACCTATGTTTGTAAAGACAAAAATTTGAGCCTTCTCACTCTACGTTCTTCACTCTCATTCTCATCCTGCAATGCTGCAAAATAATCAAAACCGTCGATTTTCTAAGTCACTTTTAATATCAACTTTGCAAAATACCGAAATTCTATGATGAACTAAAATATGAACGGTTTTAATTATCGTACAAAATTGCAGAATAAGAAAGAGAGTTGAAAAGGTAGAATGAGAATGTCTGCCTAAGGTTGGTAGGATCACTTTTATTTTATCAAATAATATGAAATGATTGCTTATCCTCCTGAATATTTAAACTGGACAGATTTTGGCGTGCTATCCCCAACTTAGACTAGAGAATATTTTATAGGACGATCTAATCCTTTAAAAACCCGACATTCCAAGCTTCCTAGACATCTCACTCTCCTTTGCCAACTTCAAATACTTTGAGACTTCGAGTGAAAACCATGGACACCCTTTACCTTGTTCTCTCTTTGGGAGCTGCAGTTTTCGCTTTGACCGTCTTTGCATTCAAGCGAAATTCAGATGACAGTAACAACCTACCGCCAGGGAGCATGGGGTGGCCTATTGTGGGAGAAACTCTCGAGTTTCTGTTTGGGAAGCCGGAAAATTTTGTGTTCAAGAGGATGAGGAGGTACTCTCCTGACATCTTCAAGACCAAAATTCTTGGAGAGAAAACTGCTGTCATTTGTGGTCCTAATGGACACAAGTTTCTGTTCTCCAATGAACAAAAGTACTTCACAGCTTTTCGACCACATTCCATGCAGAAGATGTTTCGTTCGTACAAGGCTGCTGCTGCAGCTTCTGCTCCTCCTGCAGCACAGCCTGCTCGTAATGAAGAAGCGAAAGTATTGAGGTCCCCAGGGTTTTTGAAGCCGGAAGCATTGGTGAGGTACTTGGGAAAAATGGACTCAATAACCCAAGAACAGATGAGAACCTGTTGGGAAGGAAAAGATGAGGTCAAGGTCTACCCTTTGGCCAAGAAACTCACTCTAAGTCTTGCCTGCAGATTCTTCTTGGGCATCGATGATCCCGAGAAAATTGCAAGCCTAGTGAGCCACTTTGATGATGTTACTGTTGGGATGCATTCACTTATTGTGAACTTCCCAGGAACAATATTCTTTAAGGCAACCAAAGCTGCAGATGCGCTGCGAAAGGAGTTGAAGACTGTGATTCAGGAGAAGAAGGCTGCAATGGCATCGGGAGCGCCTATGCATGACATTTTGTCACATATGATTATGACCAGTGATCCATCTGGAAAATACATGCCGGAGGCAGAGGTTGCCGATAAGATAATGGGTTTACTCACAGCAGGATATAGCACTGTGTCTACTGCCAAGACTTTCTTCATGAAGTATGTGGGAGAGAAGCCAGACATTTATGCCAAGGTCCTAGCTGGTAAATACTAATCACATCAACTTTAACAGCCTTTCTTTCTAATTTTTCAACTGTTTTGAGCACGTCCGGCAACGTTTTTCTCTCTATATTTTGTGCTAAATGTGAGTTGTCCTGTAAAAAACAGAGCACAAAGAGATTGCAGACTCAAAGAAGCCAGAAGACTTACTGGAGTGGGAAGACATCAACAAGATGAAGTACTCATGGAATGTGTTGCATGAAGTGATGAGATTCACACCGCCACTTCAAGGAACATTCAGAGAGGCCTTGACTGATTTTACCTACGCCGGTTACACCATTCTGAAGGGCTGGAAGGTATACTGGACTGTCAGTACAACAAACATGAACCCGGAATACTTCCCCAACCCGGAAAAGTTTGATCCATCAAGATATGATGACCTAAGTGCATTCCCAGCTTTTACATTCGTTCCATTTGGAGGAGGGCCAAGAATGTGCCCCGGGAAAGAGTACGCTCGCCTAGCAATCCTCACCTTCGTTCACAATGTGGTGAAGAGGTTCGAATGGGAAGTGCTATTTCCTAAGGAGAAGATCACAGGCGACATGATGCCAACACCGGAGAAAGGGCTCCCAGTTCGCCTTCATTGCCACTAGGCATCAGACTGTCTGGAATCTTCTGTTTACAAATGTTCTTTGTTAATGTTTTTCTTTTCCCTCTGTATTTGTTATCTTATGTGAAACTGAAAGTGATAAATATACATGTTTAATGTTGATTGAATTGATGACTTCGGCCTTCAATTTTTGCAAACTTTCTGCAGAACTTGATACATGAACCAGCCTATATTTCTCTTTCTCTAATCCATCCTGTAGAAATTTGCAGAACATTACTAAATTCTCTCTTAAACAACAGCGTCCTAAGTTCAAACCCTCCCCCTCCTATGGTCTAGCTTAGACAACTAATATTGCTCGTAATAAAAGAAAAGAAAACCATAGGACTTATTCAAACAAGCCATTTGGTGTTTATCTCACGTTATATAATAGCTTCCTAGCAACTTCTACCCAAAGTTGAGAATTAAGATCCTCTCTGAATCTCTGTGTCCGGAGCCAACTGACCCGGAGATCCGTTCAAGAGAGAGATCCGAGCCTTTGATTTTGTGTGAGTAGGCTAGCGGGACAAACTAATAGGAGCCTCATGATTTAAATGAGTGATCCAGATTTCCCGAAGTAGTTTGCCATGGTTGACCTTACAACGTTGACTCTAATTTTAAAGTTTAAATAGTGACCACCTACTACAAATATTTGTTCAAGTTTTCAGAAAAATAAAATAAAATGAAATAGAAAGAAAGCAAATATGTTAACATCACAGTGACAAAGAAATGTTAGATCACACAAGGAGTACGAGAGTCTAACAACTTTGGTTGTTATATAGTAGAATCCGTCTCCATCCAATCCAAATAATTGCTAAAACAAATATATCATCCAGGGAGTCCCACTATTATTACAATATATTCTTCTTTTCTTATGGTTTTGCTTTGTAAGTTGATTAAATTTACACGAATGATGTATTATGATGATGATGATCAAGGTGTGTGCACCGAATGCTTAACGGGATCACAAACGTCGCAGAGAGGCCAACCTCTTCTCAAGATCCTCAACGTCGGGCGATTCAGAACTGCATACAGTTAAGAAAGAGTGTTAGGAACTTAGGATACACTGAATATTATATGGAAACCACACGAAAACGGACCAGACTGGTTTTGATGATGGGAGCATATTAGTTTTCAACTTACGAATCAAACTCAACCAATACTAGTTTATCATGGCAAGTGGCAACAGTTTGTCATAGAAATCGAATGACACCCTTTACCTACTTCATAAAGCATTTTGACCAATTTTGGTGCGGATTGGATTGGATGGGATCAATTCATGAGATATCAGGTATGCTGAGGTACGAAATGGAGGCCACCTTCCAAAATTTGTCCAAGTTGACAGTAGATGATGCATTAGTTATGAAGGAATCCTGTCCAATCCTACTAACTTGTGGAGATTGAAAGGGATAAGTTTCCTTCGTGACTAATTTGAAAGTTCGGATTTGTTTCTTACTTCAACATACATTCAATCTAGTGAAATATCCGATCCAATCTAGTACTAGGCACCAAACATGGCCTTTAGATCAATTGCCTCTGCACACCAAACGGGCTTCCAGAGCATCTACCCTAATATTTCAGTGATACCGTCAGATATGCATAACCCCCCCTAAATGGTATCAACTACGTGAGCAATCATTCTTCAAGTTACGACTTGCAACTCAAACTCGAGCAATGATAATTAACCATGGAAAGTTGGCAAAACACCGTCATAGAAATCTGATGATGCCTTTTCTTTATAAAAAAATCAACATGTTGTGTCCACCTACTTTATGCTAGCATTTTAGTACAACTATCTATCAAAATAAGGACAAAACTAATTGTAGGTAACCTTTCATTATGATACAATATACTAACTTTATCAAAACCACGCCAAAACGGTCGTGGATGTATAAGACATGCTTAAACCCCCTCAATGATACTGATGATGTGAGGAATCTTCTTCAGATTTTGACTCAATCTCAAGCAATGCTAGTTTATTAAGGCAAGTTAGCAACAGTGTAGTGCAAATATCTGTAAAAATATGATGATGCCTTTTATATAGAAAAGTAAAGTCAACCTGTTATGTCCACCTACTTTCTTATGCATTCATGAATCATTTTCAGTACTGGTGCTTTTCACTTTGAAAAATTAAACAATCAGTCCACTGCTAATACAAAATATAAACTTCTAAAAATCTAAACACGACACAAATTACTGAGTTCTAAGGAAGGAAAAATCATTTGGTGTTTGTAATAGTTAGTAATGGACATACCTGTTAACAACATTTGCAGCATTCTTTGGAGCTACATTTTCAGCATTCCTTGAAGCCACATTTTCAGCATTCCTCGGAGCTACATTTACAGTATTTCTTGATGCAATTCTGCCTTTTGGAGCTGAAGATAACTGTAAGGAACGAGAACAAGAGTCAAAGAGAAGTTGGTTTAAAACGAAAAAATAATAATAATCAAACAAACTCGCTATCAATCTCAAAGCACCAACCTGGGATGCAATATCAACACCAATCTCATCGAGCACCTGAAAATGAAATATTTGAGTTCTGGATTAATAAGATAATGCTGATACACCTGTACAAGAAAATAAAACTACTATAAGGATGCCGATACTCCACCTGGTTAGTGAGCTCCTCTGTTTCCTCTTCAGCCTCATCTTTGTCCAAGGTTTCATCAATAGACTCTGACATCATTTCTATCTGCATAGATGACAATAAGATGTCATACTTTACACAAACGTGGATTCTAGAACATGACAGTAGACCAATCAGGGAGGAAAATGGTAGCGTTTAATTGTCCTGGCCAAAAACTAACAACATACGTTACCATTTTTCAACAACGGAGGGTTTTCAGATCTCTCACATATATGTTTGGATCTGGTAAACCACATTTGGTGAGCGTAATTTCCCTTGGACATGGTAGGTTCCCGTTGTGGCTTCATTTGATTAAAACCACTGTTCTAAAAATTCCCGCCTAGCGCCGCCTAGGCACTAGGCAGCTGGCCACATCCATGATTAGTCCCTAGGCGTTTGAAAATTAAGAAAGTGCGCCTAGACCCACTTAGGCGTCCGACTCGACTGCCTAGGCGCCCACCTAGGCACCCGCTTAGGTCGCAACACTGACTTAGATAGAAAGTCGATAACTTTCATTTTGCATATTAATATTTCAATAAAATGTAAGAGTTGTTGAATACTTGGATGAACACTCATTATATGCTTGTTCCCCATGTTTTCAACATGTTCTAATACTTTATAATTTGTATGTCATTTTATCTTGCAATTTATGTATCCCAACATAATTATGTGTGTGTTTTGAAGTATAAATAGGCACTTATTTATACAACATATAATAAATTTATTTAAATCCGCCTAGTCCGCCTAGTCCACGCCTAGCTGCCTAGGCGCTAGGCACCAGCCCGCCACCCGACTAGCACCTAGCGTCTTTTAGAACCTTGATTAAAACCAACATTGAATTAACCAAGAAATTATTACCGGAAACTATTAGTATTACCGTCATATCCATTTGTGCTGCGTTCTTCTGGAATTCTCTAATCACTTTGACTTGTTTTGCAGGTGCCATTTGCTGAAAAGAGAAATAGATAATGACAACAATACTTAGTTAATTTCAAGAGCTCGACTAGATGATTCCAAATGAGAAAAAAATCAATAATAATAAAGTTTAAAGGACTACTACATAGTAATAACTAGTAAATCTGCAATGTTAATTATCCGAAATTCTCTTGATATGTATACCTTGTTCATTGCCACCATTGCTTTAGTTGCACCTTTCATGCCTGTGGAAATAGAAGTGCTTGCGTATAATGCCTGCAAACATATTGCAAGGATGCCGACACTCAGAAAGTTGCTCGCCGCATAATATATATCATGATCTTTTAACTGAACTCAAAGCATAAAATGCTGACCTGTGTATGGGTACCTACACCTCTTATTTGGGCACGACTTCCTTGCAAGTTAGTAATCTGTTGGCGTAGCCTAACGAGCTGACGAGCCAGGATTTTTGTGGCAGCCTGGATAAAACTTAACGTAATTCAGTTTTAATAATGAATGATTAGGTTCAACGACATTACTTATCAACACATCCAAATCATATTGAGAAAATATGTTGAGCTGCATACTTTTGATTCTTAAAGTGGCAAACCTATATGATATCCCCTAATTGTATTGATGTTTACAGCTAATTCCCACATTAACTAGTACGAGGAATAAGTAACTTAAACAGAAAAATAAACTTGCCTCGTTTCCAGTTTTAGCCGTTTTCTTAATCTCCGCCACCAATTTCCTCTCCTGAAATGCAGAAACAATGAGGACACTGAGGGAAACATCTGAAAACATAATCAATCAGAAGGTTCAGGGTAATTGTAACATATACCTCCAACTGAAGAGATGCGATCTCACGTTCAATACCTGTAAGAGAAAAATGGGAGCAGGGTTGACAATAAAAGTTAAACCGCTAAATATTGTAGTTTCAATTTTGTTGCCTCCAACCAAAGAGTAAAACATAAATTAAGCTGAAGTACGCTGAACGAGTTTGGAACTTTGTGATCGAAGAAATTGTAGATTCTGAGCTATTCTGATTTCCCACAAATAAAGAAGCAAACCACAAAAACATGGAAATTAAAACAATTGATAGCATCTTTTTTCGGTCTTATGGGGGAGTATCATACACATTTAAGGCAATGACAGGAAACTAGATTTGTAAAAATCAATAGGAAAAAATTAAGCAGAATGCAAATATAATATGTAGTTGGTATCAGCAATTCTGAAGCAAATTCAAACCAGATAAAGAGAAGAAAACACACCTCTTGTAGCAACACTCATTTCTCTTTTGCTTTCCCTGAGAGCCTCTGTTCAAATACACAGCCAATTTAACAAATTCATTCACAAATTAATCAAACAGACAACCAACAACAAATAAATCTGCAAAAACTAGAAACCCCACAAAACCAATTCTGAGAAGAAAAAACAAAAAGAAGAAAAAAGATAGTGAATTTTGGAATGTTATGTCCCTAAAAATCCAAGAGAAAGACCAAAAATAATGAGAACCCCTTTTATTTGAAAACCCCATTTCTTCTTCCACAATTGCTCACCCACCAAACACAGTGGCAATGCAAAAACCCTAATCAGTGAGAAGAACTAATGAAACCCTAGAGAGAGAGGAAACCTTTGGGCGAGGTCTTCTTCTTGAAGATGTTCATGGTGGACTGAGTGAGTGAGAACCCAGTAGAGTTGTGAAGTTGGGAACTTTTGGAGAGTTGCGAGAGTTTGACAGTCCAAACAAACCAATAAGGCAAAGTCTTCTGAATCTGGTTTATAGGGGAGCGTGCGCTTTGTTCCCGGTTCCCACGTATCCGCATCAACCAGCAACTTTTCCAACTAGCCGTTACGATTCGGCCCATTTCTTTCTGACTATACTGCCCTTCTACAATTAATAAGTTTGATGCCCTTTTGAGCTGTCATTGGTAATTTCCTATTTGGTACAACGCATATTTTTGTATATTAAGCTTAGCCCCGAAAGTTTCTTTCATTTAATTTACTTTATTTTACGAATATTTTCATTACTTGGCCATCATGATATTCAAAAGCCAGAAAATTTAAAAAAAAAAATCAATAGATAAATCATAATGTTATAATAATATTATCATTTATTTCAATTCTTGATTTTCTCAACTGGTGTTACAGTAGTTGAGATGAATTTTGGGCCTATTTTTCACCTGAGACGTTCTGAGTTTGTTTCTAGACGCTAGTGAATCACTCAATGATGGTCAAGATAAGCTGAGAAATGTCTATACGTGTTTTTCCGGCCTCTGAAATGATAGACTGTAGTGACAAAGTCACCAGTTAGTCCCATTTAAAAAAAAAATGGTGGTGCTATGAACACCAAATTCATGCGCCAAATTTGTGCATCATATGATGTGTCACATTTTACATTATATGAATTTTTAATACAATTATTAATCAAACTCCAACTTGAATTAAAATTAAACTTTAATTCGTGACACATCATTTGGTACAAAAATTTAATGTGTTCATTATTCTTTTTTTAATATAAGCTATATTTATATACTAAATTACACACTAAAATTAAAACTCAGGACATTATAAGTTATAAAGAAGACCTTAACAACCAGGACAGCAACCTATATTTCTATTTGAAAGGCAAACTCAAAGGACTGTTGTCAAGACTTCTAATGTAATTTTGTCTTTAGCTTCCAGTGTTTTGTTCTAATATTCTTACTGTTTGTTCTTTTATTAGTGGGCTTTAAACATCGGGCCTTATCACTTGATCTTTCTTGTTGCCATGTGATCCTTAGTAGTTGGGTTTGACCGCTATTATTCGTATCATATAGGGCTTCACGTGAAGAACAAAATTCTAACTGTTGATTATCTAACGCATTCTTTTTTTCTATTTTATTCGGGTTTGAAACCTGTAGCGTAAAATAAACTTTTACATCAGGAGTTCGTTATTAGTACCTATGATAACTTACATTTTGTTTCCCTTTCACTTCCATCTGATTCAAAATCTTAACTTAAAAGATAATAATAGTTTTGAAAAAGAAATTTTACCTTACATGTTAGTTGCAAGTGGTGAATTACCCTAATAATTATGACTTTCTTATTCAATCCGCTACATCTCATATTTAAACTCTTCATTCACATAATGTAAATTAATAAAGAATAACTCTCTTAATCGAAACCGTACATGTTTTTTTTGGGGGGTAATGAGCCCTTATATGATAGCTTATCCTAAAATCACTCCCTCTCCCAAATGAGCCTAAACACATGGGTGCATTTTTTGCTCACTACTCTTAAGTAGTGGTAATGTTTACCACCTTATTTAGTATTATTGGATGATTTAAATTTTAAGATTTGTATCTATCCAATATACAGATCTTGAAATTTAAATTTATTCAACAATAATAAGTACAATGATAAACATCACTATCACTTGATAACGACGCTTGATAATATGCTAAAACTTGGAACTTCTCCCATACCAGACAAAGAATACCCGTCCCATCATCCACCTAAATTCCTCTTTCCAAACTTATCCTTGCGATATTATATAATTTCTTGATGAAGCCTATGAGATGTGCAAATGTTAAAGATAACAAGATTTACGATGATAAAAGAAGGATCGAGTCCAAAACATAATGACCATCAACGTTTGTAACAATCATTTAAATAAAATCCATTCATATCTTCACACTTTTCTCGTCATGAAATAATTTTTTACTCGTATGCAAAGCATGTGTGAGAGTATTTTTCTTATTGTTAGCTTAATAGAAAAGGACCTGCAAGCTAAGAGAGAAACTTTGAAAAAATTAAGACAATTATCACATCCAATAAGACCAAAATACTGAAAAACACATGAAAAATCCGTGGTCAGCACCTTTACTTTTTTTTTTTTTTTTTTTCTTTGTTGAAATGTAGGTAGGTACAGCAGTGACACATTTACATCACGTGTGCGGGGGGTTACGCATGAAAGCTATATATACCACAAGCATAATGCAAGATCAAAAAAAAAAAAAAAAAAAAGCAAAGAGACAACGTAATCATCAAAATCTTGGCTCCACAGAAAACCAGGTACTAGAAGTAGAAGAAGACAAGAGTTACGAAAACAAACTAGAAGTAGAAGAAAACAAGAGTTACGAAAACAAATAGATCACCAAAGCTACCAAAACCAATGGATCGTCGTCTGCATCTGCCATTCTTCTTCTTCTTCTTGTCTGTTTTCTATCTTGCATCATCTGCAAAAGCAATTGCAGAAGCAGAAGCAGCAGTTGGGTATGGATACAGAATTCTATCTGTCAACTACTACGATTCCTCCAGGAACTCATTGACCGCTAATCTTGGCCTCATCAAGCCCTCCTCCCTCTACGGACCTGACATCCCAAATCTCAATCTTCACGCCAGGTACCTACTACTCCCTAATTTAACTTAACTAATTAATTATTCTTATCTTGAATAACTTGTATTAGCTGTTGTAGTTGCTTTCCAAGATTACGTTTTCATTCTTTCATTCTCAATCATTTTTGGGGGGTTGACCAGTTCATCAGGATAACAAGACATCTGAACCGTCCATTGTAGATACTAGATAATATGCTAATAAATCCCTTGCTAAGACTAAAAGACCCTTGCTAAGACCGAGTGTAGCACTGTCACTTGCCCACCAATGCCTTTAATTATACAGGAGGAGCTGCAGTTTGGCCAAAACCTACTTTCCTTTTTTAGATGAGAATTAGTCCCCTATTACTACAGTTTAAAGATATTTCTTTTCATTTGTAAGTGAGATTTTAAGTTCGAATTTTGTGGATGACGAGTTTGATACTAATTCATTCTCACACCCTCTCTGTATATATATCGTTGTATAAAAAATATTCATTAAAATAACATAAAGAAAAGCTTCAGACGTAAATTGTCTGTAAGAAAGGATCAGTACAAGAAGGTAAGTATTTTTCGTTATGATATTGGTGTGATGATGTTAGTTATATGCGTTTTATTTTTTTTTATACAAGTGATACTCTACTTTAAACCAATTAGTGTCAGAGTGATTCATATTTGGGCAAATAGAGAGCTTCATGTACGCTCTAACCAATAGGATTACGCCCCCACTTATGCATTTTAGCCGCATTAGATGCCTATGATCATATTTTTCATTTGAACCATAAATAACAGGGGTGATGTGTTTTGCTATACAAGTTAATAATTCAGATTCAGAGATTTACAACCTAAACATTTCATGTCATCAAATTTTCTAGCAAGAAAATATTTCATGAAATTATCTTAAATTCTTAATCATGCATGCAGCTGTGAAACCAAAGATCGTCTAAGAATTCGAATTACAGACTCAAAGCAACAACGATGGGAAATCCCACAAAACATGATTCCCCATCAAACCAAAACGCCCACCCCCACCCCCCACTGCATCTCCTCCAGCGACTTTGTCTTCACTCTTCGCAACACCACCCCATTCGGCTTCACTATCACCCGCCGCTCCTCCAACGACGTCATCTTCGACACCTCCCCCAAATCATCAGACCCCAACACCTTCTTGGTCTTCAAGGACCAATACATCCAACTCTCCTCTTCTCTCCCCCAAAACAGATCCTCCATTTTCGGCCTCGGCGAGCACACCAAGTCCTCCTTCAAGATCATTCCCAACCAAACATTGACTCTCTGGAATGCTGACATTGGTAGCGTCAATCCCGACCTCAACCTTTACGGGTCCCACCCTTTCTACCTGGACGTCAGGTCCGCGTCTCAAGATGGCGGCAAGACCGGTGCAGGAACATCTCATGGGGTGTTGCTGCTGAATAGTAATGGCATGGACATAACATACAGCGGTGCTAGGATTACTTATAAGGTAATTGGTGGAATTGTGGACTTGTACTTCTTTTCTGGACCGACACCTGAGTTGGTGGTAGAGCAATATACAGAACTCATTGGTCGCCCTACCCCTATGCCCTACTGGTCTTTTGGTAAGTTTGATGCTTAGATTGTAAACTGAACTTTGTTAGCTATGTATCCTACCAAAGTAGTGCTTGAACGATCACATTTTCGTGCCACATTGGTTATGTGACATGCACATAGCAGTGAGTCCACTTGTTACATCAGTTGTTACAGCCAAGAATACTGTTATTTGTACCATATGCCAACTGACGATGTGATTTCATTTGCTTGTCCGTACTACTGACATAGTATGCTTTTAGTTTTGATTTCAGTTTTTGAACCATATCCATTTCATTCACTTATACATTAATGGTTCAAGTAAAAATTGGAAGACTACTGATGACATTACGGTTCTTACGCAATTCATATTAAGTTGATTTCATTCCTGCTGAAGGATTCCACCAGTGTCGATATGGTTACAAGAATGTTTCCGATGTTGAGGGCGTGGTTGCTGGTTATGCAAAAGCCAGTATCCCTCTTGAAGTTATGTGGACGGACATTGATTACATGGATGCTTACAAGGACTTCACTCTCGATCCCGTCAACTTTCCATTGGATAGGATGAAGAAATTTGTTAACACTCTTCACCAAAATGGTCAGAAATATGTCCTCATCTTGGATCCTGGTACGTACGCAGCCTAAAGCCTAAACGCTAATTGTGTATTCAAATTATTGTGTCACAATAGCAGGAATGATCATATGATTTCTTTGACAGGTATCAGTAACAATGATACCTATGAAACCTACATCAGAGGGAAGAAAGCAGATATATTCATCAAGCGCAATGGAATTCCTTACCTGGGAAGTGTATGGCCTGGTGATGTCTACTTCCCTGACTTTGCACATCCACGTACTGAAAAATATTGGGC